CTTTTTGCTAGACGGATGAATCTCTCAGTTATTCTTTCCCCTATTACTATTTGAATTTAAAGGCTGCCAGATTGTGGTAATTATGAACACACATTTTTCTGCTCAGAAAAAAAGGATTGATATGATATTATAGGAATTTTTTTAATTATTTCTCAGTTCTGTGTTACATGAATCAAAGACTCAAATTTAAACTTAAGGGGGCCATTTTCATATTTATTTGGAGCTTACCTGTTGATCCCATCAATGATCTAGAGATGAAATGTCCTCAGTTCTTTTTCAGTGATGCTCAGACTGCTGAATTAATAATCCCCAACCTCCCCCGTTTCAGAGCTTGCAGGTTTCTTTGTATGAGCATGTTGTTAATAAAGGACAATATGTGTTTATGGGGATGAAAGAAATTTATTTGCAACTTCTTGTGTGTTGTTGCTACAGTTATTTCCAAGTGGTGGGTTTAGATTATATCTAAAATAGTTAGCAAAATAGAAAAAGGACTGTGGCATGAAAGTGAGAGGATGAATCAGAAATGTTGATCTTGGATAGATACTGTCCTAACCCATTATTTTGATGGGTAAAGAGAATTAAGGAACTGATTTATCAGACAGTCAAATGAACGGCATGAAATCTAGATGTATTTCAGTAGGACAGTGTTGATGGAATAGCTGGTAAAAGATTGTAACAGTGAAATACAAATATTGACTATGCTTGTATATGTTGTTCGACAACTGTTAGACTGTCTCAGAATTAATTGAGCCATCTTTCTATTTATGCAGTTGTTTAATTTCTGGATTTAAATAATATTGATGTCTTTGATTTCACAAGTATCAGTTGTGGATTCACTGGGGTTAATATATAATGATAAATTTAGCGTAATGGGTCCAGTTTTATGTTTTAAAATATTTCAGGTCCCTGATCATGACTACAGTAGAGTACTGTATTGAGCTTGTGTTCCAGTGGTAAACTGTAAGCAAACAATTTTCTTCTCCCTCAATCTTAAGGGAACAATAACTGACTAGCTTTATATTAGAGCTCAGTTTTATGTAGAACGCTTTGTCCTAGATGACCCATGAAAGTTAGTCCACACCACCTAGTTGTACTGAATTTCATTTTTCCCTCTTAAATTAAAAGCTTCCATCATTTTGCTCTCTGTGGGTTATAGGCAATTGGTGCTTTTCACAAATAAATAGGGCATGAAGACTACATTTGGACTTTACCAATTCAGCTTTAAAGCTGTATTAGCCAAGGTCTTCATCTGCTTCATATTCTTTTAGATTCATTCCCTATAAGCGTTGACAACAACAAGGAATCTTGTAGTTCCTTTTATGCAGTATTTAAGCAAATTCTGATTGCTTTGGGCAAATGTTTCGTTTCATAATGTGACTGGCAGGTGAAAACAAGCATTGTTATCATGGAAATGCTCTACGTGTTCTTGATTGGAGAGTTTTTGGTATTTCTGTTGCTGTTATTGTTGGTTGTTGCTCTTGTGGTCATTATTTATCTCCAGATGTTCTTACAATGCTGGTTTTGGCTATTCATAAAGCGGTTGATTCTTCTAATGAGAATTGGAATGGAATTCACCTTAATGCAGAATATGAGGCAGGGATTCCATGTTTGTGTATTTTTAAGATTGCTTGTGGGACTGGCCTAGCAGCACTTGCAAAAGACAATCAGTATAGTGGTGTTGGGGGAGGGTTTAAACTTTTATCCATTTTTCTCCCCTGAGAAATCCAAAATATATTATTTTCTGAGCTCACAAGTCCAGGAGAGTGGTCATGGAGGACAACCTTACAGGAGCATTTGCAGAAGAGATTCAGCTGAAGTAAGAGGTTCACGCACTTTACTGCTTCATTTTGGCTTCCAAAAAGTGCCTCCCTGGGCCTGGGGTGGTGGGCTTAAGATCCCCCATTTTGAAAGGAATTGTGCTGCAATCTCATGCAAAGATTTGTTCTTGAACAAATCAGGAATCCTTTCATGATGTTAGCTGGTAAAGCACATTGCTGTAAATAAGGAGTAGAGAATTTAAATTTGGCATGGTAGCTACAGTCTAGAATAAAAAGAGTTTTCTAGTGTTTCCCAAGTGCAGTGGAACTAAGTTATAGTTTGCCATAGGAAAGGATTTGGATGTGTGAACATTTTGCCCAAATGCAGTAATTTTGCATGTAACATGACATTAAAAAAAGAAAACCCTGTACATCTAAAGCAGTGGGACAATCTGCAATATTCCATACTCACACGTTCAGACTTTTTACATCTCAAATTCTTTTGATCTAATTTGTAAAAACAATGGATTATTATAAATTATTTTAATTAAAACCACACTTAATTTCTGATTAATTTACACCATCTAATACAATAAACATAACTAATTTCAAACTGGAGAGGGCCATGTTTGGAATTTCTTACCATGTAGATATAAATGATGAGAAGCTTGTCAAGGAAAATAAGTATCAGCATCACAAACACACTAATCAAGATTCCCAACAGCTTAGCATTGAAGACTTTTTGCTAGACGGATGAATCTCTCAGTTATTCTTTCCCCTATGCCTAGAACGTAAAGAAGTGGATAAATTTTGGTATATTCCAGTCAAATTCAGCTGAATTTTCACCATTGCTGGTGAACTGGTAGCCCACAGTATAAAAAAAAAAAGGGTTACTCAGTAATAACAAATAGAATTGACGATGACATACAGCAGAACAATTGTGTGTAGGAAGAACCAGAAATAGTGATAGATTGTTGCACAGTTGCCATGCCACCATTGTTAGTGAAATAAAGCAATAACAGTAAGTGCGTATAAATCTTAGCTATTTGTGCAATAACACTGACTACTGTTTCATAGTAAATGAGCCTGGCATCAATTATAATTGATTGCAGACATTTATCTTTCCTTTATATTGAAAGAAGACAATTATAAGTCATATGTTTAAAAACTAAAATTATTCTGTGGTTGAAATAAAGGCAACTAGCTAGCGTTTTCAGATATTATGCACAAATAGCTAAGAATTTTCTGATTATCTCAGAAAAATATAACTTCCAATGGTATAGTATGTACAGGAAGGAAGGAAAGCAAGTAAGATTTATTTGATGGGAAAACAGATGATAGACAGACAGACAGATAGATAGATGACCTTTTTTTTTTAACTTTAGAAATATTAGGAACTCGGCATTGGAAATTACACTGCACGGTTTGGCAGTCTTTACATAGATGATGTCTAAGCAAACAAGATATGACGATCAGATCAGAAGGCCACTGTTCCAAATCATAAATGAAATGGATCATGGGAAAAGCACCTTATATGCAAAATGGGACTGGGCAAAAATGTAGGAACTAAATAAGTTAGAACTAGCTTGCAAGATCAAGAGTATCAAGCATTAAGTCCATCTGTAAACGATACATGAGGAATGGAACCTAGTGCCATTCACTCTGCTAATGCCATCCCATTGATTATCAAGCTAAACTAGCAGGATCTGTGCACAAGAGCTATCAATGGGCTTGCTGGAACAAGCCTTTGTGGGAAAAAGACTCAAGAGGGGTACTTTCCTCAAGCAGTCCAAGAAGATCTGAGAGCGTCACAGGCTGTCTGACTTTTGCAGGGCTTAATGAACAATGAGGAAGAAGAGAAATGAAAAAGAATAGTTGGAATCCAGAATGGCAGTGCCACGTTTTGTTACAATTTCCAATGGGAAACATGGGTTTGCTAGCAAGATTACTACACTGGGCAGGATGTTGCATTAAAAGTGTGGATGCAGTCCTATGCGTGAACTCGACCTGTAAATCTGATTCCTGCATTATGGTTCATTCACAGTAATATATAACAATGTTTTATATCTTTGTGCATTCATTACATCTTATTGTTTTCCTGCTTTTTAATATTTTAGGACATCTGTAGTCTGTCCAGAGAATTTCAGTTTTCAAATAAATCAGTGTAGCTGTAATAGCAGTAGTAGTAATAATAATAGTAATAATATGATTAATTAGTTATAAGCTTTCTTACTGTGGAACAATTCTACCTACAGAGAATATCAAACATAAACCTGTGAGTTTAGGTCTTCCCACAAAATGCAAAGTACTGTGTCATTACTGTAGATAACTATAGCAATGAATGAAAGGTACCCCCCCCC